GACCAGCCGCGCGGACGGGCCGGGTAGACTTATCCCGTGGACTGAAACGGACCCCAACCCACTGTTGGCCAGGGGCAGCTTGGTGGCCGCCGAGTGGAGACCGGAAGAGGGGTTCGTGGAGTTGAAGTCTCCTGCGGTGAGCGGCGGGGCTCGGGGGGCAGGGGAGCCGCCTTCTCTCCCCTCCGGGCTTCTTGGAGACGTTTGCTCTGGGGTCCCACACAGGGTAAATTCTGGCAGACCATGGGCTTCTCAGAGCAGGGCCGGCAGCGGCTTCACCCCGAGGAGGCGTTGTATTTGCTGGAGTGTGTGAGTGGGGCCCCAGGAGGGTGGGGAAGGGGGTTGGGACCCAGGAACCGGAAGAGCATGTGTTTTTTTTTTTTTGGAGAAAAACTACACACAACTGAGTATTCAGGGAGCTTGTAACCTGACTTGTAGAGCAGAAGACAAGAATGCCTTGCAGGATTCCCGCTCATATTGGTGTTGGTGCTGCTCCCCCCTTCCTGGTTGACAGTATCCTTGCTGTGACGCTTGCGGGGGGCTGGGTGGGAGGGGCACAGATATTAAAGTCAGGAAGTTGCCCCAGTGGCTGTGCCCCTGCAGTGAGGGCTTACAAGTTGAACTGTTGGCCCCACTTCTAGGGCTCCATCCAACTCTTCCACCAAGACCTGCCGCTGTCTATCCAGGAGGCCTACCAGCTGCTGCTGACTGAGGACACCGTGAGTTTCCTGCAGTACCAGGTATCTGCCACCCTCTCCCAGGAGAGGAGCCACTCCTGTCCAAGTCAGTATTTACAAGTCTATAGAAGGTGCTAGCCACAGAGCCATATGCTAGGGCTACAAGACAGGCAAGAACTCTGCTATCATGGTGCTTACATTCCTAGTGGTGGCAATGAATGATAAATCAGCAAGCAAGAGAAGGATTGACTTCACAGAACTGAGTGCTAGGAACAAAACAACACGGGAGAGGGCCACAAGGCTAGAGACATAAGTGTGGCCTTCAGGAGCACATGGGTGGTATTTAAAACCAGTGGGCTGTATGGGTGTGTGGCCAGAGTGCACGGCTGCATCTGAGACCTAGGATACTCCAATATGAGGAGGTCAGGGAGGAGATGAGACGCCAGAAACAGAGACCGAAGAGTCTAGCAACGCAGGAGAAACACCAGGAGAGGCGGCATCACAGAAGCCAAGAGATCTTTCAGGGAAGTGGTCAGCTATGTTGAAGGATGAGAGATCAAGCAAGGTGGGAGACATTCCTGCACATATCTCCCCATAGGGATATGGGGACAGGAGAGTAAACGTGGGTCTTTACCAAAGACCACTCCCACCCCACCCCTGCCTGGAGGGATGGAGTGGGGTGTCCCCCACCTTCTGCCACCATCTTGTCCACATTGTAGTCAGGAACTTCACTTGTCAGCTTTAGTGTCAAATATTTTAGGGTGTAGTTCTTTGCCTGGCCCATTGGCTTTCAGCTTCTTGAGATTTGCATTTAAATCAAGAAACTGCTATATGTCAGTTGTGCCATGTAAGGTAAGCAAGAGACAGGAATTCATACTGAGACCTTAGTTTGGGGAGGGTGTTTATAATGGAGTGTGGTCCAACCAGTTCTGGGGTTTAGAGTCTGGGAGTGGGCAGGGGAGGGGGGTGGGGTATGGCTTCTGTCTGGAGAAACTATGTGGTATTTTCACAAGTGGACATATAACCTTTACTCTTTTTTTCTTCTTTTGAGGTCTTCAGCCATCTGAAGAGACTGGGCTATGTGGTTCGACGATTCCAACCAAGGTAAATCCCTATCCCATTTCCCTCCCGTTTGTTCTAGTCCTGGGACCTGGAATGACTAACCCCAAAGCAAAAAGTGGCCTTTGCTTACCTGGAGTCCTTGGCTGGAGCTGCAGTTACCTGGAGATGGGCTGGGAGCCTTTGCTGGAAATGCCCTATTGAGAGGCATGTTGGGACAATCTGGGTCATTTCAGCTTATCCTGGGTTGTCAAATTGAGCCCCATCTTTAGCCCGTTCACTTCAGATAATGATTGATTACCTACAGTTCACTGTGAGCATGGAGATGCAGTACCAGGACAGGGCCTGGCACTTAGGTGTACAAGCAGATTTGTTGAGTGCAGGCATGAATGAAGGAGCAAGTGAGGAATTAGCAGTTGAATAGAATTTAGCATTCCTTTTGCTAGGTTAGATGTTCTTTCGTTTGGTGCCTCTGAAGGTCATCACCTTAGTAATCCAGCATTGGGGAGAGCCACAGAGAGCTCCAGACTTAGAGTGGAAACTGGTATAGGCTTTGTAGTTTCTCAGTACGTCGCAAAAGCTCTAGAATAGAGCTTTAACTTCTGGAATTGGAATATATCCTAAGGGAACAGTCACAGATGTCTGCAGATGATCACCTGTGAGAATGCTCATTCATCCACGCATTCAACAGTATTTGTTGACTACTTACCAGGTACCAGGCATTGTGCCCATTGCTGAGGAACAGCAGAGAGCAAAATCACTGCCCTACACAACTTACATTTAGTGGGGACCTTATACAAAATACCATCACCTTGCAAAATCAGTGAACTTGGAAACATCTGTGAGTCCAACAGAGGGCATGGTCATACGAATTAGTTTATCCTTTAGAGCAGCACCGCACACTAGAACTTTCTGTGATGATGAAAATGTTGTTTATACTGTCCAGTATCTGTGGCTTGTGCAACTGAGTTTTTATTTTTTTTAATCCTCACCTGAGAATATTTTTTCCATTGCTTTTCAGAGAGAATGGAAGGGGAGGAGAGAGAAACATTGATGTGAGAGAGACACATCAATTGGTTGCCTCCTGACCCAGGCTGGGGATCGAGCCTGCAACCGAGGTACATGCCCTTGGCTGGAATTGAACCCAGTACCGTTCAGTCCACAGGCCAATGCTCTAACCACTGAGCCAAACTGGCTAGGGTGTGCAACTGATTTTTAAATTTTATTTAATGTTAATGGATTTAAATATAACTTAGTTACGTATTTCTAGTGGTTTACCATATTGGGCAGTGCAACCTTAGAGCCATAAAAAAGAAATCATGGCCGGGAAGAATGCTATAGAAATAAGGAGCCATGTCCATAATATATTATTGACTGAAACAAAAATATTACATAGCAGTATGTCATTTTGGTTAGAAAAAACCAAATACGGAGATAAGCAGTCTGTATGGTATTTATAAGAAACAAAAATGTTACAGTGGTATCCATGGGTTTTATTTTCATTTTTATTTTCTGTATTCTCTGGTCCTTGATTTTTCTCACCAGTGATTAATCATTTATTGCTAGCTCTGCAGGAGCCCTGGTTCCAGGGAGCCTCTGTTCAAAGATGCCATTGGTGAGATCCAGAGATGCATGGGCAGGCCCCTGTGGCCACCCCTATGTACCCTGCGGGCAGGTCTGCCTGGGCCATAGCCCTTGGGCGTGGCTCTGACCCTGGCCCATTGACTTGTCTGCTGGGCCTGTCACTCACAGGCTCCCCTGGGAGCACCAGGCTGAGATGGTGGATCTGTTGCTCACTTCATTCTCACCCCACAGCTCCGTCCTGTCCCCTTATGAGAGGCAGCTGAACTTGGACAGCAGTGCCCAGCACTTGGAGGATCGGAACGGCAAGAGGAAGAGGAGGAGCTCGAGCTCTCGGTGATGCTCCCCACATGCCACCACCCAGGGAGCTGGGGTGGGGTGGGCAGAGCTGTGGAGAGTGTTGGTGTTTGGGGCCTTGGAGAATGCACCGGTAGGTTTAAGAGCTGGGCTTGGGCAGCTCCCACATAGGCTCAGGGAGGCATTGGGCACACATAGGACTTGTGCACTTCAGCAACCAGGAGCAGATGCGCTGTGTTTCCTCCCCACATCCCTCAGGTCCACTAATAAGAAGACCAAGGCCCTGGACAACCCCCTACAGGGAGTGGATGGGACACCCGAGAGCCTGCCTTCCTCTCTCCCACCTCCCTGCAACCAGAACAGCCGGTGCCCAGAGAAACCCCAGGAGTCAAGCCCCTTCCAGCTTCTGGGGTCCCTGGAGCCCTGCCCTGGCCTGGCCAGGGAGGTAGTGGGATGCAGCCTGGAAGGTGGCAAAGTAGAGAATGGGGTCAAGGGGGCTTGTAAGCCACGCTGGAACTTTGAGCAGATTTCCTTCCCCAACATGGCTTCAGATAGCCGCCACACCCTCCTGCTTGCCCCAGCCCCAGAGCTGCTCCCAGCCAATGTCACAGGGCGGGAGACAGACGCCGAGTCCTGGTGCCAGAAGCTGAACCAGCGGAAGGAGAAGCTCTCCAGACGGGAACAGGAGCAACAGGCAGAAGCCCAGCACTTGAGGGAGGATGTAAACGCAGATCCCGAGGTGCAGCGTTGCTCCAGCTGGCAGGAGTACAAGCAGCTGCTGCAGAGAAGGCACCTGCAGAGGACCCAGAACCGCCCCCAGCACCTGTGGGACCAGCCTGTCACCCCCTTGCTGCGTCCCGGCCAGGCAGACTCCCCAGGTACCCCCTCACCCGGCTTTAGCCCCATAGGTCACTGGCAGGTAAGGAATCACAAGACTTTGAACAGGGTACGATTGACCACGACTGATTGAGGCTTACGAAAGACGAGGGAGGAGAGCTGTCCTGTGAAGTGGAAACCCTCAGGGACAGCCTGTTCTGGGAAGCAGCAAAAGGACCCATGTGGGAAGGTTTAGAGGCAGTGAGTCAGTGCCAGAGGAGAAAAGAAATGAAAACTACGACCACGTCCTTTACATCATACACAAAATGCATGTGGATGGCTCTGCCACCAATTCGCTGTGACCCTGTTCTCCCAAATCTGTTAGAGGGAACAAGGAAGTGATATGTTGGCCAAATAAAAGGAAGGTTTACTGTATGCCCTGCAGTGTCAACAGGGAACTAATAGGGCAGTGATTTTCAACCGGTGTGCCGCAAGAATTTTTATTTTTAAAAAATTTTTATTTATTGCCTGGCCACGCCTGGCTCAGTGTTTGAGCATCGACCGAGGATTCAGGAGATCGTGGTTCTGTTCCTGGTCAGGGCACATGCCGGGTTGCGGGCTCGATCCCCAGTCAGGGGCATGCAGGAGGCAGCCGATCAATGATGACTCATCACTGATGTTTCTCTCTCTCTCTCTCTCTCTCTCTCTCCCCCCCTCTCCCTTCCTCTCTGAAGTCAATAAAGAGACATTTAAAAAAATAAAAATAAAGTTTTTATTTATTGATTTTAGAGAGAGAGAAACATCAATTTGTTGTTCCACCTGTTTATGCATTGTTGGTGGATTCTTGTATGTGCCCTGACTGGGGACTGAACCTGCAATCTTGGTGTATTGGGACAACACTCTAACCAACTGAGCTACCCAGCCAGGGCAAGAATTTTTAAAACATGCACTACCTGACTATTTAGTCAGGGGCACTAATCTTTTTTACCTTAGAATGTCAAGTAACAGCCAACACAACATAACTGTCTGATGTGAATGAATCAAAATTACACCTTATTTTTTTTTCAGATCAAAAAAATACATTTTTTGGTGTGCCACAGAATTTTAGCAATTTATGCCATGAGATGAAAAAGGTTGAAAATCACTGTATTAGGGCAAGAATGGTATTAACGGATTCAGAACTACTTACAGGCCTTATAGGAACATGGTAGATTATAAGTAACTAGATTAGTGTTGCCTAATCAGTTATATTTCAGATAAACAACATGGACATACCTAGACTTTTGAAAATCATGTAAATCTGGGAATCTTAAACTAGACAGCAGATTGAGAAATGTCAGGGGAGTCTGTAGATGACTGACTGCCCTCCCCAATGACTTATTTTCACTATCCTTATAGCCGCAGTCCTTCAACATATCTCTGTGCTGCAGACAACACACCTTGTTGATGGAGGTGCTCGGTGAGTTTCCAGGTAGTGCCTGTCTACACAGTACTTTGGTTGCCAGCAGGAATTGGCAGCTGGGATGTGACTCCTAAAGTTGGGTATGAGCTGAGGGAATCATTCCAGGGACCCCTATCCTGGCTACTATTCATGTGTCTAGGGGAGAGGGAGAAGTGAGAGACAAGGTGGATTTACCCACCTTGAGATAAGCAGCTGAGCCTCCCCCTACCCCTCAAGTGGTACCTCACAGCAGGACCCCAGTTCCCCTGGACAGGCTGCTTCCTGAAACAGGGAGAGGAAAGGTGTTGTGCAAAGAAAAGGTGGAGCAGGAGAGTCCCTAAAGTTTCTTACTCTATTCTCAGGCTGCTGGAGAAGTCTGGGGGCTTGGAGATCAGCTTTGATGTTTACCAGGCTGACGCTGTGGCCACATTCCGAAAGAATAATCCTGGCCAGCCCTATGCCCGGATGTGCATCAGTGGGTACGAGACCAGCAAGCACTGCCCCCTGCCTGCTGCCAGTTATCTTGTAAACCAAGTAGACCTCCTCTTCACACCCCTGACCAGTTTGCCAGTCCCTGAAAGGTCCAGAGAGATTATGTGACTGACGTGAGGCCACACAGCCAGTTTGTGCTATGGGAACCCAAGCTTCCCAGTCCTCAGCCCTCATTCTTGGCATTTTCAGGTAGTGTCTCATATACCATTTTAGTCCTGACCTCAGTGAGGATCTCACTCTTCTTAGTCCCCTTACCCAACCTCAGGGTCTCTCTTGAACTTATCAGAGCCATGCCGTTTGCAGAGAGGAGAGCCCAGGGGCCAGACTTCCTGCACTCCCAACTCCTGTCTTAGTCTCCCTTCCCTGGGTGCCACAGAGGGCTAGGGTCTCAAAGCCTGTGGTTAGGCTATGTCCAGGTCTCAGTCTAACCTTTATCCCTGCAGATTTGATGAGCCAGTCCCAGACCTCTGCACCCTCAAGCGGTTGTCCTACCAGAGCCAGGATGTTCCTCTGATCTTTGCCGTGGTGGATCATGGAGACATCTCCTTCTACAGCTTCAGGGACTTCACACTGCCCAAGGATCTGGGACACTGACCAGCTCTGGCAGGGCCTGGGGCCTGCTTGAGGGGGGCGGGGACCTGGACTGTCTACACTCAGGGACCATCTGAGCTGCCTCCTACACCCTGTAGCTGCAGGGGCTAGTCTGGGTCTTGGCCCTGGGTGTCTGATGCTTGCAGAAGAGCCACGCTGAGCCCCCCTACCTAGCTTCTGCAGCGCTTCCAAGCCCCAGGACTGAGACTGCTGCCTTACAGCTATCCCCTTGGAACTCAGCACTGTATTCTAGACCCAGAGAGGTGGGACGGAAGAGAGGACTCTGTGCCTTTAAACGAAAGGGTGCCTGCTTCATGCGATAAAGCCAAAAGCCATAGCCATTAAAAAATAGATCCCTTTTCCTCTGGCTGGATATACTGGACAAGCCACCCAGCCCCGGAATGGGTGCTTGGACCCCACCCCCATCCCACTGTCCATGGCACTGGCCCCCAGGCCCTTGCCTCTGCTTTGCCCACCTACAGAGAGCGCTGCTTTCTCTGTTGTGGGAGCTAAGAGAAGCTCTCGACCCCACACCTTTATCAGGATCTGCGCCAGCGGGGTTGAGAAGTCACTGACCTCTAGTCAGCTTGTCTTTCCGAAGGGTAGTCCTCGGAGGGAGGCGGCGCTCCATCGGCCCTTCCCTGAACGCTGCTGGGTCCCGGTGGAAGGCTGGCCGAGAGGCGCCACATCGGTGTTTGAACCCCGGTCACTTCGAGTTGTGCCATACACGCCCCAGGCCACGGGCCTGGTCCCCGCGCCCCTTCCGCTCCCGCCTCTCCTCGCTCCGACTCCCTCCTTCGTTGTGCTAAAAACTCCGGTCACTGTTGCTGTCCCTCGGGGCCTCGGGCGCCTGCCAGCCAAAGCTGGGACTCGGAGGAGGGGAGTCCAGGCTTGGAGCCTGCCCCGAGGGGAGGCGCCTCGCGGCGACGCCCCCGTCCTCACGCCACCTCGCTCCCGGGTCCCGAAACCTGGCCCTGTGTCCATTGGTCACACTCTGGTTGGGCTGGGCGCTCTCAGGAGGGGCCGGCCGACTATGCCCCTCCCTCGGCGCTCCGGGACGGGTCGTGGGAGGGACAGCGCCTCAGCAGTCGGGCCTGGGAGGTGGCCGTGGGCCGCCGCGCGTCCCGGGAACTATTTCTTCCTAGAAGAGGCGGCGGGACACTGGGCGCGGCAAAGCGTCCGGCCGCAAGGTGCGCGCAGGTAAGGCCGGGGCGGGGCGGCCGCGCCTCGTGCATATTCACACCGGCGAGGCCCCGCCTTCGCTCGGCCCCGGGCCGCGCATTGGCT